GAGACGGTGGGCTTCTGCCCCCTACTGCTGCCTCTCTCCTAGAGCAGCACCCCGAGGAGGGGGGGGGCTGACTCCAATCGAAAGGGCCTCTCGGGGGGGGGGAGATGGTTCCTGCCCACGGGGGCACCCCGGGCACCGGTAGCCCCATCCGCCTTCCCCGGAGTATGCTGCCCCACGCTCGGCCAGCAGGGGGCCTTGTGGTCCCCCCCCCCTGTGCTGCCTGGAAGGGGCCTGGGGCCCTCCCTCCCTCCCACTCCGCTTCCTTTGCCACCGGGGCCTCCTTCGAAGCTGGTGTTGCCCCCGCAAGAGCCCCAGAGCCCCCACGCCTGGGTGTGCACCTTTGCCTTGCCTGGGGACCGCCCTCCCTGCCTGCCTGCCTGCCTGCCCACCTTATGTAACACAGACTGTCTCTTGCCCCAGTGCCCCCCTTGCCCCTGTTGGGAACGCCCCTCCCTGGACTGGCAGCCCCCCCCACTGGGAGGCAGGCAGAGGGTGGCGGTGGCATCCCCTCGGCAGGCAGGGAGGGGAGGGGAGGGGAGGGGGTGTGCTCAAGGCCATGCATGGCCCCTCTCCCAAGGCTGCGGGACCTCGTGCCTGCCAGGCAGTTCTGGCACCAGCAGAAGGGGGCGCCCGGTGAGGACGTTTGGGGATGGAGCCAGGTGGTTTGGGGGGTGGGGGAGAGGCTGGCCTGTCGGTGCGCTGAGTGAGGGTGTCTTTGGGCACTGCCCCAGGCTCTTCAGGCACGCAAGGGTGACACCTCGGTTGTCCTACGCCCCCCGGCTCATTGGCCCGCTCTCTGTGCCAGGACACAGGGGTGCCACAAAGGGCAGCCTCGGACAAAGCCGGCCTGTGCAGGACAGCGGGGCGTGTCCACCTCCACCTGCCCATCGGCTGCAGTGGCTGCTGGGGCCTCCCCCCCCTCCGAGAGAGAGAGAGAGAGAGAGAGAGAGAGAGAGAGAGAGAGAGAGAGACTGCCCCCCAGGCCGGAGCCCTTCTCGCCCCGCTGCAGGGGTGGGGAATGGCAGGCCGCCTGTGTGGGTGGAGGAGGCTGGCCAGGCAGCCTGAGCAGGCCCCCCTCCCCTTCTGGCTGGGATCTGCGCCTGTGGGGGGAGGGGGGCACATTGGGAACTCATTAACGCTTTGCAACGTGGCCCCGTGGCTGACGGACCAGGGGCAGGGATTGCGTCAGGCCCAGCCGAGTGAGTCCTCAGCCCTGTGAGGTTAAGCGTTGTCACTCTCTGGAACCTGCAGAGAAGGGGGGGGGGTCTTGTGCACCTCTCTGGCGAGTGGCCCCACACGGGTTTCATGGATCCTGCTGGCAGAAGCCCGGCCAGCCCTGGAGATCCCCACCCCACTGTGGCCTCGGAGGGTTCCGGGGCTGGGCCGGGGGTCTCCCAGGAAACCCACCAGGAGTGGAGCAGAGCCCCTTTCCGAAGGAGTTAACGTGGAGGGTGGAGGTGGGGTTTGCCCCAGATGTTTGGAGGCAGCCCTCCCCACCAGCCAATGGCGAAAGGCCTCCAGGCAGACACCCCGTTCTTGGCTGGAACCCGGCAGGGGGCCGCTGCCGGCTGCTCTCTGCCTGTCGGGCATAAAAGGCTCCTTCTCCATCCAGGCAGCCTCTGGGCTCTCTGCTGGCTGCTCCTTGCCTGGTGTGGAATACGTCCTCCTTACGTCCTCCTCGTTCTCCTCGCTGAACCCGCAGCTGCAGAGGCAAGCAGGCCAGGAGGGGTGCCAGGGCATTTCCCCAGTGCTTGGTGGACCTGTCAGGTAAGGCGCTCAGTGTGCTGGGAAGTCAATGTGGATAGAGGGGGGGGGGGGAGAGCCCCCCCCCGTGTGTCTCTTGCTCTGAGCTCCTTGGAGGGCAGGAAGGATAGCCAGTGTGAGGGACAGGTGGAGAGAGAGAGACCGCGTAGGTGCATCTCCACTCCTACAGTGTCCCTGGTGTGGTGAGCCAGCGATGGAGTCCCGGGAGGTGACCGATGCACAGGCCTGTCAGGGCTCCAGGTGGCACTGCCAGTTCATGGATGCTTTGCACGCCACAACTCTTCATGGGGATCCCAGCCGTGTGCAACACTGACCGGGCAATGCTAGGTGGGGGGAGCCTTATGCCAGAGGGCTGCCCCCCCCCACAAGGCAGAGGATCAGTCTTGTCTCTTCTGAGCGGCAGGAGTTCTCCTGGGTCCTGGGGAGGGCGAGGTCTGTCCCAGCCCCCGCTTGACCTGAGATGCCATTTCTCAGGGGAGACCCAGGACTGACCCAGCAGGTGTTCTGCCACGGAGCCATGGCCCCTCCTCGGGACTAGGGTTTGCGGCCACTCTGAGCTCCCAGGACAAGGAGCTGCGACGTATCCGGCTGCTGCGGCAGAGCGGAGAAGTGGCACGTGGAGCTCACTCACTGCTCCAAGGCAGCCACGGGGGGAGGTGGCTGAGGACAGGGCTGGCCCCACAGACAGAGGCAGTTTTGGAGTCCGGATGGAGCTGAAGTTCTGGTGGATGGACAGGGAGGTGTTCAGAGACCCAGGTTCAAATCCCTGCTCTACTGTGGAAGCTCGCTGGGTGACCTTGAGCCAGCCACATAATCTCAGCCTAAGCTACCTCACAGGGCTATTGTGTGGGTAAAATGGAAGACAGGAGAACCATGTAAGCTACTGGGATCCTCACTGGAGGGAAATGAAGGAAATTAATAAATGCGTAGAGCTAGATTTGGGTCCAGTAGCACCTTAGAGTGCAAGAAGATTCTTTGGGTAAGTTTTTGAGATACAGGAGGAGGAGGAGGAGCGTCGTCCCTCGGAACCCTGGACCCAGGGGATCTTGTGGGTCTCTCGGGTGCGTCTGGACTCAAATCTTGCTCTGCTGCTGGAGACCAGCACTGACTCGGGGTCACCCTCGAGACTCACTGATGGGTCGGCACCGGCCGCAAAAGGGCTCCTCCCAGCCGGCTGCAGGCAGACCCTCGTCCTGCAGGCCTCCTGGCTCTGTCCGGGCTGCTCCCCAGGGGGCGGCTGGCCCCCCCTCCCTGGCTCCAGAGACGGTGAAACACCCACTGTGGGGAGGTGACCAAGCGCTTGCAGGCTGGGCAAACCGCTCCCGTCTAGCGTCTGTGTTCAGTGCTGTTTCCCTGTCATGCGTACCAGAAATGGAGGTGGCCCATTAAAGCCCATTGTCTCTGTCCCGAGCCACCCTCCAAAGGGCAACAGGCATGACGTGGTTCAGTGACACACACGTACACTCCCCCCCCCTCCACGCTTTCATGGTATATTAACGGGATTCTTTTACAGTATTTATTACCACGTCCTATTATTTTCTTCTGTCCAGAACTGTTCTGAACAAATTAATGTTGCTATGTTCAGAGGTTAACTACCTGAAATTGCTTTCCAGGATTATTCCAAACTCTTTTAAGTGCTCTTTTTCTGGAGCCCAACATTTCAGCATTTCGAGAGTCCACAAGGGCCAGCCCCACAGCTAGGGAATCTTTTGGGAAGGGGGCCTCGGGGGGCGGGGAGCCAGCTAATTAAATCAAAGCTCAATGCAGGCAGCAAGTTGGGGCACTTTGGGGTCAGCCCGGGAGGGAAGGAGGGGCCCCAGAAGAAACACGAGGGGGCCAGGCCCTGTGGGCCCCACGGTAGCTACGGGCCAGCCAAGAGCTCCCTTCCTCAGAGACAAGTGGGAGCATCCATCTCCGGGGAGGTTTCCTTCTCCCAGCCAGAAGGCGGGAGGGAGGGGTGTTGTGAAGGATGCACCCGTACCAGGCATGTTGTGCTGGGGGTGGGGGGTGGGGAAGAGAATTAGTGAGAGAAGAACCCGATGTCCTTATTCCACTTGGGCGGGGAGGGGGGGTGTCAATTGTTCTGAACTTATGAATGAACTCAAGTTTAGCAATCTCCCTTCAGGAGGAGATTGCCACACAAGCTTGCTGAAGCTGAGTTCATTCACAAATTCAGAACAATGGACCCCCATCAGGGCTGAATAGGGACACAGGGTTCTCACTGCAGAGGCTAATGTTCTGGCGGGCGGGTGGGGGGTGGGGTGGGGAGCTTGGCATTTGCCCTCAGGCTGATTACAACATGCAGGATATGTCAGTGCTTCCTTCACAACATCCCTCCCACCTTTTGACGGGGATAAAAAGACTCCGAGATCTCACTTCTTACTCTTGTCTGATCAAGGGAGTCTTGACTCTTGGAGGGGCTGCGACTCAGTGGCAGAGCCTCTGCTTGGCATGCAGAAGGTCCCAGGTTCAGTCCCCTGCAGCATCTCCAGTTAAAAGGAGCAGGCAGGAGGTGACATCACAGACCTTTCTCTCCCTGAGAGACCCCGGAGAGCGGCTGCCAGTCTGAGTAGACAAGACCAACGGTCCGATTCCGTAGAAGGGGGCTTCATTCATGTGAATCAAGTGAATTGTATGAAATCTGACCCCATGAAATGCCGGCTGGTCTCTCCGGGGCTCCTGGACTCAAATCGATCCGCCCTCCTGCAGACCAGCACAGCGGCCCTCTGGAGCACGGGGATTTCCCCCCTGGGGGCTGGACCCTGGGTTGCAAATGTGCTCCTAGGAGGGCCTATGTGCTGCCCTCATCTGACCACAGCCGCATTGTGGCTGCAGAAATGGAGTTGCTGAGAAAAGACGAGTTTCCTCACTGCTGCAATCTCCCTCCTGCCCTGTGGGCTTCAGTATGAAAATCACATAACTTCCCTTTCACAGTGGAGTCCGCAGTGGCACAGTGGAGTGGTCTGAGGACATGGAAACTGAGGGGGGCAGGGAGGGTCCAGGCGGCTTCTCCTCGCAGGCTGTGCTTGCAAACAGAACCGAGCCAGCGTGCCCGGGGTGGGGGTGGGGGGCACAAAAAACCCGGCACACGGGGGACGTGGAATCCTTGGGCGGCTCCCCCACCAGCCGAAAGGCTTGGAAGAGGCGGTGCCGGCAGGGCCGTGTGGGGCAGGTGCCTGCCCGAGGCCTTCTCTTTGCACCTATAGCACAGGTGTGGCTGTCTTGCCTTTCCAGAGATGGACTCGTACCTGATCCAGGTGAAGGGAAAGGCCTCCCTCCGGGACGTCCACTTTAGCCTCCATGGGAAGGGCCTGTCTCCAGGCCCAGGGAAAGGCCGCAAGCCCCACTGGGCAGTCCGGGCTTCTGATATGTCCAAGAGGACCTTCAACCCCATCCGCGCCATTGTGGACAGCATGCAAGTGACCCCCAATCCTGAGAAGCCCCTCATCTCTCTGTCCATAGGTAAGCTGGAGGCCAGGGGGTCCAGCGGGGGGGGGGCTGGGCTGGGGGGGGGCTGTCCTGCCGCCACCAGCTGGGATCTTCTGGCCCTTCCTCACTTCTCCACAGGGGACCCAACGGTGTTTGGCAACCTCCCTTCCGACGAGGAAGTTGTGCGGGCTGTGAAGGATGCCCTGGAGACGGGGGACTACAACGGCTACGCCCCTTCTGTCGGTGGGTCAGCCTGTTCACAGTGTGTGTGCGTGTGTGCGTGCGCGGGTGTGTGCACACTGGCCCCTCCCCTTGTCTCCCTGCTGGGCTGGTGCAGGACCCCACCCTCACGCGCCCAAGAGGGCAGCGCAGCCCAAGCCTCCCTGCAGCCCACCCCATGGGGAAATGAAGCAGGCTGGGGTGGGGCACTACTCTGTGGGCCAAGCCACACGACCCCGAGGAAGACGGACAAGAGCCTTTGGGCTGGCGGGGTGTGGGGGGGAGCCGCCTGCTTGGGACTGCCGCCCCGAACTCTGAGAAGTCCAGCAAGGGCCCCAAGGCACTTTCTTCACTCTCCCCCCCCCCAGGTTATCAGTCTTGCCGGGAGGCGGTTGCAAAGTATTACACCTGCCCAGAAGCACCTCTGGAAGCTCAGGTAACAAGTCCCCTTGCTGCGTGTGTGTGTGTGTGTGTATGGGGGGGGGGCATCACCACACAGAAGATGCTGCTCGCCTGCCCGCCTGCCTCTTCTTAGACGCCGGCATCCCAGAAGGGGGGGGGGGCTTGGTGGCCTCTGCTGGCGGCAGTCTTTGCAGGGCAGGGGGTGTGCCTGCCTGCTCCCGCCGCCAGGCTGACAGTTGCCCACTCCTCTCTTGGCAGGACGTCCTTCTGACCAGCGGCTGCAGCCAGGCCATTGAGCTGGCCCTGGAGGTGCTCGCCAACCCCGGGCAGAACATCCTGGTGCCGCGCCCTGGCTTCTCCCTCTACAAGACCCTGGCTCTTTCCATGGGCATTGAGGTGAAATTCTACGACCTCTTGGTAAGATGTGGCCCAGCAAACACTCCCCCACCCACCCATGGGCCGGGGAGATGGAGGGGGAGGAGCAGCAGAGGCGACCCAGGGAGGGGTCCGTCCATCTGTCTCAGCACCGGCGGTGCGGCAGGGTTCTTTAAGCAGAGCAGGAGGGCTTCCTTCTTGTCGGCCCGTCTCTTGGGCCCAAGGGGGCCGGCCAGCCCCAAGGGCCCGAGAGGAGGAGGGAGGGAGGGAACACGCCTGACCCCTCCCTGCTTGCTTCCTTCCTTCACACCAGCCGGAGAAGTCTTGGGAGGCTGACCTGAAGCAGATGGAGTCCCTGGTGGATGCCAAGACGGCGTGCCTGATTGTGAACAATCCCTCCAACCCTTGTGGCTCTGTCTTCAGCAGAAGCCACCTCCAGAAGATTGTGGCAGGTGGGCCCCCCGGGGGGGTGGGGTGGCTGACTGGTGGTGCATGTGACGCCTCCCCCCCCCCGGCCTCGCTGGGTGTTTGGGGCAGCCAGGCAGAGGCAGCGGCGGTGGCTGGGCCTGGGGGCCGCTTTGGCCCGCGGGAGTCTTGGCCAGCCCCTGCCCTGGAGGAGGGAGCCTCCTGCCCGTCAGGCGGGTCCTTGTTGTGACCCTGAGACGGGGGTGGGGGGGGGGGGGGCTTCTGGGGCTGGAGGTGCTTCCCCATTCCCCGCCCAGGTGGCTGACTGGATTTCTGCTTTGTGTTCCTTGGTCCAGTGGCCTCCAGGCAGTGTGTCCCCATCTTGGCTGATGAGATCTATGCAGAGATGGTGAGTGAGTGGCGCAGACCAGGGCCAAGTAGGCTCTCTGGAAAGGAGTCTTCAGGCGTGACCCATAGCTGTGGGGGGGGGCAGTCTCCTTGCGTGTGTACCGAAGGTGGCTGGCTTCATCGTAACCTAGCCTCGGAGAGCCCCACCGGGTAGCCGGCTGCTGCAGAGTCTTTCAGATGCAAGGCTTCTGCCTGGAAGGGAACTTGCTCCTCAGGCTTTCTGCTTTCCTGCTTGGAGAGACGGCTGTTTAAAAACACCAGCCCACCTTCCCCTCATGACTGAGACCGCTCTGCCTCTGTGCCCAGGTGTTTGAGGACTGCAAATACGAGGCCCTTGCAAACGTCAGCCCCAATGTGCCCGTCCTTTCCTGCGGAGGCCTGGCCAAGCGCTGGCTGGTGCCAGGCTGGAGGATGGGCTGGATCCTCATCCACGACCGCAGAGACATCTTTGGGAAGGAGGTGAGGCAGGGGGAGCTGCAGGGGGCGGGGGAAGCAGGACGGGGGGAGGGGCCAAGGAGCCCCCTCGTGTCGCTCCTCCGCAGGCAGGGGGGCAAGGAAAGGGCTGCCGGGGCTAGGCCCCCCCCCCCCGGTTGTTGAGACGGCTGCCCAGGCCTTGCACCCAAGCATGATCCTCGAAGTGCTAGTCCTCGCCCAATCAGCCAGCGGGTGGGAACCAGATTCCCAGCTGTTGGGGGACACAGGCTCCTCCTCCGACCCCCGGGGCAGGGGGGGGAGGGGTCGGCTGCTGTCACCTGCCTTTCGCTCCGTCCCCTCCCCGCTGACCTGTCTTCTGTGCACCACGGCCCAGATCCGAGACGGGCTGCTCAGGCTGAGCCAAAGGATCCTGGGGCCCTGCACCGTTGTCCAGGGGGCGCTCAGAGGCATTCTCCACCGGACATCCCCGGAGTTCTATCACAACACCCTCAGCTTCCTCAAGGTATATGTCCACCGGCTTCTCCAGACCTGGGCGTGGCCCCTGCTTCCGTTGCTCAGTCCCCCCTCGGGCAGGGAGTGGTCTGTGCTGCTTGGGGGGTGTGAGAAAGCCATGGGGGGGGCCACCCGCAGACAAAGCTCAGCTGGAAAAAATTAAAAGGCAAAGGTATATGTAAAAATCCAATCTATTCTTTGAAACTATTCACTATTATGGGCAGTGTTCCCTCTAAGCTGAGTTAGTGTGAGCTAGCTCACAGGTTTTTAGCCTCCGGCTCACACATTTTTGTGTTTGCTCAGGAAGGATTGGCTCCAGAGCAAACTAATTTATGCAGTAGTCAAATCGCCCACTCACAACTTTAATGCCGGTAGCTCACAAAGTAGCATTTTTGCTCACAAGGCTCTGCAGCTTAGAGGGAACATTGATTATGGGGCATAAAAGATCAAACATGTTTCAACCTGTCATCTTTGTCAGTGAGCGCTTGACAAAAAGTTTATAGACACAACTGTTCCATTGTAAAAAAGCATGCAAAAATCATAGACACAATACATAAAGAGCTAGAGTATCAAAAGTGCAGAGAAACGGGCACTCTGTGGCTCGATTCGTAAATCAGTGTTTGCTTTCAGGTGCACTCCGCTGTCCCGTGGATGTTCTATCGCCGCAGATTCCCACACTGCAGGTTCCCTGTAGGTTCCCCCCCCCCCCCCGGTTAGGTAAAGGAGCTGGCTCTTTTGGCCTTCAGGCTTCTTCTACAGGTGACTCCGGTTTAGGTGAAAGGAGATCCTAATAGCAGGACCTTTTGCTGGTCACCATTCTGCAGTGGGATTTTTCAGGGTTTGTGGCCAGTTTGATTTGACTCACAGAAGGTCTTTTGTAACACAATGTGTAGGCTTTTCAGAAACTGAGGATAAACACAAGATAAAATCTTTGTAACCCTGGAGAGAGACAGCTCTACATCAATAAGTTTATTCAGTTACTATGAAATAGTTGGTGAAAGATTTTTAATCTGGTTAAAGCCTCAGAAATACAGCTGTGGCAGAGGCCTCATTGGCTTAATTAATGTTTTTTCTAAGAAATGCTAAGTAGTCTTTTCTAAGATATTTTATGTACTGGTACTTGGTGGGATGATTATGCTACATCCGGTAAACCTTTTAGCATCGGTAAGTTTTTAAAATATGTAACGATGATGCTATTTCGTATTTTTGGGCCTCTGGAAAGAAGCCTGTAAAGCAGGACTGGCCGGCACTTCTGACAAATCAGCTCAGCCGCCTGCCCACATTTCCTGGGTTGCCTTTCAGTCACCCTTTTCCTGAAGCCCTGATTTTGTTCCCCCTTGAAGTGCAACTCCAGCCCCAGCTCTGGGGTGTTGCTGTGGGGCAGGCACTGCGCTCTTCTGTGGCGATGCCACCCGTGAACAGGCACAGAGAGCCTCTGCTTGGGCGGGGTGGGTGGGGTTTGTGTGACAGAAGCCATCCTTTGATGTGTGATGCATGAGAAAGTACACAAAGGGCTTTGGCAGGCTTGGACAGAAGGCCTCTGTCCAATATCCATTGCAGTGGTAGAAGTTCAAGTTTGGGGGCCCCACTGGGCGGGGCAACTTGTGGTGAATAGACCAACGGAAGCTGGCGCCCCCCCCACCACCACCCTCGTCCCACCAAGCTTGAGTTTCCTCAGGTGAAGGGCGGGGGGGGGGGCGAGATCTGACCTGCTCTGCTCTCTGCCTCCCCTCTCCAGTCCAACGCTGACCTCTGCTATGCTGCCCTGTCCGCTGTGTGTGGCCTGAGCCCCGTCCAGCCCTCGGGGGCCATGTATCTCATGGTGAGTGAGGGATACGGGGCTGGATCTCGGTGTGACTCTCACCCCCTCCGCTCCCGGCCCTTTCCCACCCAAGGAATCGCCCAGAGTTCTTTCGGGGGAGCACCCCAGTGCCTCACTCGTGGGGGAGGCCCGTGAAGCAAGCCCTTTCCTCCCGAGGGAGGGGGTCGGGGCACGCTCCTGCTCAGCTGCCTGCCTGCCTGCCTGGAACTCAGCCGCCTCCCCGCTTTGCTGCGGCTGCAGGTTGGGATCCAGATGGACCATTTCCCAGAGTTTGAGAACGACGTGGAGTTCACGGAGCGTCTGATTGCTGAGCAGTCCGTCTTCTGCCTGCCTGCAACGGTGAGTGAGTGAGTGGGGGTTCCCAGGAGGCCGGGGTGGGGGGGGGCATGAGGTGCCGCTCAGCATCTCCTGCCCAAGTCCTGTGGCTTACGGCCCCCCCCCCTCAACCCCTGACTGCTGGTGAAGGGGAGGGTGACAAGCGAGGGACTCCTGGACTCCCACCCCAGAAGCCACAACCACTGACCACACCAGCCCCCTTTCCAGTCAGCCTCCCCATTCCAGTCTGCTAACAATCCCCTCGCTGCTCCTCCGTGCTTTCGTAAGAAGGATCCAGTGGACACACACACGTCCATGGTGCACAAGACTACCCGCCCCATCAGGCCGGAAGGAGCCACAGAGACCCTTTGGGATGAAGCAGGAAGGGTGCTGCTCCTCCCAGAAGGCTGGGGTGCAGCTGCTGGCCAGTCACAGATAATTAGCAGATGATGCGGCTGGAAACCCAACAGCCCTTTGGCCACACCAGAACCTGGCTCCGTGGTCTGTCCAGCCTCTCTGGATGGCTCTGGGGGAGGGGGGAGGAGGCAAGACTTTCTGGCCAGGGCCGCTCTTTGGTGGCCGGCCGGCCAGCCGGGGGTGGGCAAGCAGGCTCAAGGCGCTCTTGAGACCAGACTGCAGGGATTCCTCCGTGACGAACACGGGCACCAGTGGACTCGCCTCCTGTGGTAAAACGGGAGGGGGAGGGGCTGGAGCCGTCTCGGGGGCCAGGGAGCAACGTGGCCCTGAGCACCGCTGGGCTCCGGAAGGACCAGGCTGGTTTGTTGCCACCGGTGCCAGCTCAACCGCCCTCTCCCTCTTCTCTCGGCAGTGCTTTGAGTATCCCAATTTCTTCCGTGTGGTGCTCACCGTTCCGGCAGACATGATGGCGGAGGCTTGCCAACGCATCCGGCAGTTTTGTGAGCAGCATTACCAGAGCGGAGAGGGGGCCCAGGAGCTGGAATGTGACAAGTAGCCGTGGGCAACTCCTCCAGTCCACCGGCAGTCGAGGCATCCCGCCCAGGGGGCTGTGCCACGGCAGCCTCTGCCCCACGCCCGCCTGGCCCCCTCGATCCAGCAGCAGCTCCAGGGGACCTGTGGGGGGGCATCCAGGCAGAGCCCCGGACACCGCACAGAGCTGGAGGGGAACTCCGAGAGAGACACTCCTTCCCACAGGCAGGCTGCGTGCCAAGGCCCAGGGCACGCGGAAGGGCATCGGCAGGGCCCCCACTCTGTGCACGGAGGAGGGTCTCCTTGGCGTCCTCTGCAGGGGCGTGAGGGACGGCTGATCGATGAGCGCCAGAGGCAGGGGTGGCCTGGGCCTGGCACATGGCGCGAGGGGCAGCCCCTTTCTTCTTACGCCTCTTTGAGGTTCCTAAGTTATTGTTCCTTTTGTATGAATACACGAATGCAGACCTTGTGCTGAGCCGTGGCTCCGTTTCCTCTGTGGGTGTTCAGGCGAGTGCACGAGAGTAAGAGAAGCCCTGGCCGGAGAGACAGAAACTCCCCAGGGCACTCCATCGGAGTGGGAAGATTCCCAGCAAGGCTGAACATAAGAGCCCCGCTGAATCAAGTGCGTTTAGGCTACGGTCACTCTGGAGGCTTGGCGCAATCTGGCGGCGCCTCTGTTTATGGCAGTCTAAACTGTTGCGGGAAGGGGTGACCAGACAGCACACCCTGAAGCAACCTCACTGCACGCTTGCCCCATGGTCAGCCATTCAGATGATTGCTGCGGGGCAACCACGGAATGGGTGGTCGGGTAGCTTATTTTTTTTAAAAAAATGTCTTTTGCTTATGCTCACTACCACTTATTTGAAGCAGGAGGCTGCCTCCCCATCTGAAAAACTCATATTTTCAATTAACCCCTTCCCCACCCTGCGTGCTGCAAAGCTGTAGGCAGAACAGCCGGCATGAGAAAATACAAAGGAGGCTTCTCAGCCTGCCCTTCCCTCCCTCCCTTCCCACCTCAGAGGACAGCTGAAAGCTTGCTTGTGTGCACAAAGATGCAGTTATACGCACATCACTAACTGACTAAAGAAAACCAAGGAGCGAAAACGGAACAGAGTGATCAGACTTCCCCCCCGGAAATGCGGAGTGAAAGCACTGACAACCGTAAACACCAGACTTTCCCCAGTGCCTGACTACTCTGCTTCCAAAGCAGGGCAGAACAGGGCGGCTGCGACTGGGAAATGGAAGACAGACGATGCTGTCTGATCGTGCTCTTTAAATCCACAAAGGTACTGCAACAATAACAGCGCAAACTGCTGGTGTGACTGCAGCCTCTGACTAGCTTTCTGTTTCACACAGTGGTAGGGATGCCCAGTCGCTGACACACAGGGCAATGCCATTTCTGACCCCGCTGTTTCCCCTCCATCCCCAGACGCCAGGGCAGACAGGAGGGCCCAGTGGCAGAATGCCCACCTGAAGCGGGGGAAAGGCTGGCCTGTGCAGCGGCCACCCAGAAGATGCCCTGTGACGATGCCCCCTGCAGGGACACAGAGGTCGAAGGGGAGCCCAAGTTCACCGTGTCTCCTTCCCATTTATGTTTTGGCAAACCCCTGCCGTCTTTTCTGGGAGCTCCTCCCCCCCCCCCCGGCTCAGTGGGAAGGGGCTCCAGCCCCTTGATCGTTCGGGTTGTCCATCTTTTCACCTTTCCCCAGCTCTGTGCCAGACTGTTTGAGAAGGGCTAACTAGAGCAGTGGAAGGAAGCACTTTTCTTCAGCCCGAAGGTACCTCCCCCTTCCAACTGGCCCATCCCTTCGAACCTGAGGCTGTTGTCAAAGGCAAACTCCAACAATGAGGGGCAGGCGGCAGCCACACTCCCCCTGGGAAACATGGTTGACCTTTTAGTGGTTTAAAATATTGACTTCCTGCCTTTTAGCTTTCCTTCAAGGTGGCATTCAACTTAGTTTAAAATATGTCACAGTAAAATACAGTGTAATACCAACAGATGAAACCAGCAGCAGAAGATTGTGCCATCTCATTCGCGACTCATTAGGCCCAGCGGGAAACGAAACTGTTTCCGCCTACAAACCATCAGGGTGGGGGCCATTTGAACAGCTGGGGGTGGAGGGGGGGGGGGGGGGGGGTCCGCAGTTGAGGAGTCGCCGGCCTGCCTCATCTCCGAAGGTGGGAGCACCTACAGAGTGCCTCTGAGGAAGGGCTTCCCAAAGGGGCCAGCTCTGCTGGGGCGTCGGCACCGTCCCAGGAGACCCCCTCAGCTTCCGAGTCGTGCCCTCTGCCTCTTTCGCACCTGGGGCTGCTGGGGCGCGAGTCCTCTGGGTGGCCACTCCACTTGGCAGCCTTCTGCTTTGCAGGCCAGCCCAGGCACAGCCTCCAGTCTCCAAGGCAGACCCCACGGTGGGGAACTCACACGGACGGTCCCTTGGTCTGAACAACTGTGCCTCAGCTGTGTTGTTCGGAGAAGGGAAACAGTAACAAGCCCAGTCAGGGGTCATTTGGGGGGGGGGACGCGGGGGGCCGCCATCCCCCCGGGGGAGGGGCGGGGGGGTCCCCCTAGCTCTTTTTCTACGAAATGACCCCTGAGCCCAGTAGCACCTTTAGGACTAACAAACTTCATCATAGCATAAGCTTTTGAGAAACACCGCTCTCTTCGTCAGATGCATCTGCCAAAGAAAGCTGTGTTTCTTGAAAGCTTATGCTATGATAAAGTTTGTTAGTCCTAAAGGTGCTACTGGGCTTTTTACTGTTTTGCAGCAACAGACTAGCACGGCCAACTCCTCGCGTTGTGAGAAGGGAGGACTTTGCTGAAGAAATGCAAGGGGCTTCATCAAAGGGATGAGCTGACTGTGGGGCCTGATCCATAAATGGGGGAGGAACCACACGCAGAACTGGCCTGACTTCAGTTGCTGGGTGAACAGGCCACGGGCCAAGAAGAGAAGGCCAACTCAAGGGGCCGGGGTTCTTACCTGGCTCCCCCGTACAAAGCAGCTGAAAACGGACTGGGGAAAGAGGCCAGGTCAAGCCCACTGCGGATTTCACTCCTCCTTTACTTGGCAGCAATGTGGCATCCCCCACGAACCTTACAAGATTTGGTTCTTTAGTGGGGGAACTGGACACCAGGAGTCCTACAAGAATGCTGCATCTTGCTGGGACTTTGGCGGCCAGTTTGGTGTGGTGGTTAGGAGCGGTGGGCTCTAACCCAGAGGATCAATTCCCCACTCCTCCTCCTCCACATGCAGCCAGCTGGGTGACCTTGGGTCAGTCACAGTTCTCCCAGAGCTGTTCTCTCAAGAGCCGCTCTCCCCGAGCTCTCTCAGCCCCACCCGCCTCACAGGGTGTCTGTGGTGGGTAGAGGAAGGAGCTTGTTAGCCGCCACTCTTTTTTAAAATTTATTTATAATTTTTATTTATTGTAACAATCAACAAGTAGCATGTTAGCCACCACTCTTAATACTCTGAGTGAAGGGCAGGGTACACATCCAACTCTTTTCCTCCTCCTCCTCCTCTTCTCCCTTGGGCTCTCTCACTTTAGTCCTGCCTTTCAGCCCAGCCTACGAGCAGGTTACAACAGTAGCCCAAGCTATGGATGTGTTTAGGAGAACCTCCGTTGTCTAGAATCAGGCAGGAAAACGGAATGACACAACGTGAGTGCAGGCAGGCACTTCTCTGCATCCGGGCTCCTACAAAATATGCAGGCAACAGAAGACCAAGAGCTGGCCGAGCAGTCTCTCTCTCTCTCTCTCTCTCTCTCTCTCTCTCTCTCTCTCTCTCTCTCTCTCTCTCTCTCTGTCCCGTGATATGGGCATGAAAGGGAGGGGGCTACTTTTGCTCCAGCGTTCCCCCCCCCATTACTGAGTAGAATCATCAGAATGCTTGAAAGACATGAAGTTTCTAACATTCCCTCGTTACGAATAACTCCAGCTGAGTACTGCTGGGCATTTGACTTTATGAGTTCATTACTAAAATCAGCTGAGCTCACACCCTTGGGGAGGCTGGCGTCAGGACCTTTTCTTTGCGGGGAGAGGAGCCCCTGCTGGTCCCCGTTATATCCAAGGCTGCTTACAGCCCAGAACCTCCAGGGGCAGACCCCTGCCCTGCCCTCTCTGCCATTCAGAAGCCGGGGTGTGTGCAGTGCAGGCACACCAGCAGCCCCTCCGGAGGGCCCTTTCCTTCTGGCGTCTTCCCCAGAGCCCCCGGAGCAAAGGCGGCAGAGAGCCGGAGCCCTGTCCTGCCCCGGATGGAGAAGCGGGGCATGCCTAGAGGCCCGGGGCCTTCCATGTTCCACCTGGACTCTGGAGTACGGCACCGCTCTCTAGAGCTTGGGGGGAGGACTGGGGCCCTGACTCTGGCCACTGGACATCAGCTGCCTCGAGAAGCCGTCCCTGAGGAGCCGGAGCCTGCGTGACAGGCCACGGGGCTCCCTGACGAGGGACTCTGCTGGCTCCCCAGGCCCCTTGTGGGCCTCTCTGTTTGGTGCCCAGGCGTCACCTCCAGGCCCGCTGAAGTGTTCTGCTTGGCCAGGTTGGCTGCCCCCCCATGACCTTCGTGCCCCCTAAGGCGGCTGCCCACGGAGGGAGCAAGAGGAGGGAATGCAGCCTCATCTCCGAGTCCTTGAAAAGTCAAAGGCCAAAGCAGCCCCTGGAGCAACGGAGGCCGCCTCCTGCCAAGCCTCCTGCCACTCAAAAGGGTGCCGGCACTGCAGCACGGGGGCGGGCAGGGCCAGGCAGGTTGGCAGGATGGGCAGGGCCAGAACCGAGTCCCGCCTCTTGCAGAACAGCGGCCAGGCGGGGCCAGCTTCCCACTGGGAATGAGAGCGCAGCTGAGGTCTGGAGAGAGCAGAGTCCCCAGCTCAGGTTAGCGTGAGCCGTGTGTGACTCCGCGGTCTCCTGAGAACGAGGCTACAGGTGGGTCAGGGCCTCTGAGTGGGGATGAGGAGTCACCCAGAGAAGGGGTGGCCATCGGAAACCGGATGTACTTAAGAACTAGCCAAGGCCAAGACCAGCCCCCCTCCCAGTGTCTTAACATCCAAACTGTGTCAGTTCGAGCCCCGCGCTGGTGTGAGCAGCCAGGCTGTCATCCCCAGCTCATCGTCCACCCAGCGATTTGAAAGCCTCGGCGAGTAGATAAAATGGGAACCACTCCTTAGAGAGGGTGGGC